GCCCCCTCGGGGCTTCTCGGGTGCCTCTTGGTCCATCTTGATACGATATTTCGCTGTCTTGGATGCACATTTGGGCCGTCTTCGAGACACCTTCATGCCGTCTTGGATTCTAACACCATCTTGCCCGTCTTGGAGCCATCTTGGCCGTCGCCGAAGCCATCGTGGGCCATCTTGGAGCCATCTGGAGCGGACGAAGCTTCGATGGCCGCGCCTTCCCTGGGTGGCCGGCGGGATCGGCCAAGACTTCCTCGGAAATTTTACAACATATTTTGACGAAGAGCACAACCCTTTCTAAACACGCGTCTATGTGTATATATATATATACATAAGGCAGTTCAACCCAGAAGAACACACTTTGGGATCTGCAGTGCCCCTGCGCTCTCCCTTCGCCGAAGAACGCCAGACCGCGCTCAACGTTGCCTCTTCACGCGCACACCCTCAGGATTCAAGTCGCAGACGGGGGTGGCACGAAGCGCGCGAGGGTTGTGCCGAACTGGGGCGGGTCACCATGCGGACACAGCCGCTGTGACCTTCGGTGGATCCCCCCATATGGGGCCACGAACCGTTTGAGGGGTGCGCTGGAATTGGGCTGGTCACCACGCGGACGCAGCCACTGGAGCCTTCGGTGGAGCCCCCTATGGGGCCACGAAACGCGCGCCGAAATTAGGCCAGTCAACATGAGGACGCAGCCACTGGGGCTTTCGGTGGACCCCCCTTGGAGCCACGAAACGTTCGAGGGGTGCGCCGAAATGGGAGGGTCACCATGCGGACGCAGCCGCTGTGGCCTTCGGTGGAGCTCCCTCTGGGGCCACGAAACGTCTGCATGGTGCGCCGAAATGGAAGAGGCAAGAGGATGAAGAGGAAGAGGAGGGGAGGGAGGAGGAGAAGGCGGAAGGAGGAGTTGCGCGGCGCTGCGAATTCTCCACGAGGACCCAACACACAGGATGGTTGGGAACAACAGGCATTCGAAAATTAGACACGCCAGGCACTCTTTTGATGAATGAGCAGTGGGCGGCGGATCGAAGATACTGACGACGAGTCACCGCCGCCCTCTGCCATTTGGAAACGCCCATGCGGCCAAACGTGGGGCCGAAACCTGGCCAAGCTATTGGACTATGTGTTCCCCCAGCCGGTGTAGAACCCCTTGGGGGAAATATGTTGGAGAGGAAGAGAACGGAGGAGGAGGGGAGGAGAAGGAAGACGAGGAGGAGGAAGAAGGAGAGGCCTCTTGAGGTCCTCTTGGGGCTTCCTGGGGGCTGCTTCCTGGAAGCATCTTGGGGGTCCCCGCAGAGCCTCCTGAGGGCCTCTGAGGGCCTCTTGAGGGTCTCTGAGGGCCCTCTTAGGGGCCTCTGGGAGCATTTACGTGGGGGACCTTATGGCCTTCGGAGGCAGTCTTTGGGCGCTATAGGGCCGACTTGGAGGTCTATGGGGCCGTCTTGGGGCCTCTTGGGCCGTCTTGGGGCCCTCTTGGGCCGTCTTGCGGGCCTTTTGGGGCGATCTTGGTGGCCTACGTGGTCGTTCAGGAGCGTTGGAAGCCCGAAACGACGAGAACGCTAAAGTCATTAAACAATCATTGGAATTTCAATACTTTTGGCCTTCTGGCGGTCCTCTTGGAGCCCTCTTGGGGCGCCACATGGGCCTTTTTGAGCCGTTCGGAGGGCGTCCCAGCCCGTCTCGGGTGCACCTTGGGCCGTCTTGGATACATCTTGCGGCTATCTTGGGCTCCCTTGGGGCCATCTGATCCATCTTGGAGGCCCTCTTGGGGCCGCCTTGCGTGGGATAACCGACGAGACACCAGCTCACGGGGGGCTACGGGGTCGTTCTGAAGCACGAAACGACGAGAACGCCGAAGTCGTTAAACAATCATCTGAGTTTCAATAATCTTGGCCTTCTGGAGGTCCTCTTGGAGCCCTCTTGGGGCGCCACAGGGGCCTGTTTGGGCCGTTTGGATGGCGTCCCAGGCCGTCTTGAGAGCACCTTGGGCGTCCGGCCTGATGAAGGTTACCTTCTGCAGCGTCAAGGGCGCCCTTGTGATGAAGGATCTCGTGACCTTCCTGTTGCCGACAAGGTTGTCCTTGTTGGCTGGCGCCCTGGCCGTGAATCGGAGGTGAGGGGGTGAGATCGAAGTGGAACGGAGAGCCCCCCCACCGGGAAATCGATTTCGGTTTCGTGTTCGTGCGTGTCGTGCGGGCGAGGCGAAGCTGCGTGGGCGGGCGAGAGAAAGTCTCCTGTGGCTGAGGCGCGGCCGGACCAAATGTCTCCCTTCCGGGCGGCCGGGGGCCCGCGGTGTCCCGCCGGTGTCCCGCTGGTGTCCCGTGTGGCTGAGGCGCGGCCGGACCAAATGACTCCCTTCCGGGCGGCCGGGGGCCCGCGGTGTCCCGCCGGTGTCCCGTCGGTGCCCCGTCGGTGTCCCGATAATGATGATGTTGATGATGATCATGATGGTTGTGTTGATGGTGATGATGATGACGATGATGGTGTCCTGGTGATGATGATGATGATGATGATGATGATGATGATGATGATGTTGATGTTGATGTTGATGATGATGATGATGAGATGACGATGATGTTGATGTTCTGCCCGTTGTTGTTGATGATGATGTTGGTAATGCTGATGCTGCTGCTGATGATTATGGTATCCCGATGATGATGATTATGACGGTGGTGATGATGATGGTGATGGTGATGGTGTACCGATGATGATATTGATGATGATGTTGGTGATGATGATGCTGCTGATAATGATGGTGTCCCGATGATGTTGATGATGTTGTTGATGATGATGATGATGATAATGAGCTGATGATGATGGTGTCCCGATGTTGTTGATGATGTTGACGATGACAACGATGGTGACCATGATGGTGTCCCGATGATGATGATGATGATGCTGATTGTGATGATGACGATGGCTGTGTCCCGCTGGTGATGTTGATGATGTTGTTGATGATGATGAGATGACGATGATGTTGATCTTTCTGCCCGTTGTTGTTGATGATGATGTTGGTAATGATGATGCTGCTGATGATGATTATGGTGTCCCGATGATGATTATGACGGTGGTGATGATGATGGTGATGGTGATGGTGTACCGATTATGATGTTGATGATGATGCTGGTGACGATGATGTTGCTGATGATGATGGTGTCCCGAAAATGTTGATGATGCTGTTGATTATGATGATGATGAAGATTAAATGATGATGATGGTGTCCCGTTGTTGTTGATGATGTTGACGATGTCAATGCTGGTGCCCATGATGGTGTCCCGATGATGATGATGATGCTGATGGTGATGATGACGAAGGCTGTGTGCTGATGATGCTGATGGTGATGATGATGCTGATGGTGATGATGATGCTGATGGTGATGATGATGATGATGATGATGTTGCTGACTATGATGATATGATGATGGGTATGATGATGATGGCCTGATGATGATGGCGTTGATGATGATGATGATGACGATGATGATGATGATGATGATGACGACAGTGTCCCGATGACGATGAAAATGATGGTGTTGGTGATGATGATGATGATGATGACGACGACGATGATGATGATGATGATGATGATGATGATGATGATGATGATGATGATGATGACGTTGAATGTTAGATCGATTGTGATTTTGGTAGTGAGATCGATAGTGAGGCCGAATGTGAGATCGATTGTGAGATCGATAATCAGATAAATTGTGAGACCGAGCGAATGAGATATATCGAGTGAGATCGATTGTGAGATCGATCGAGTGAGATCGATCGAGCGAGACCGATAGTGAGATGGATAGTGAGACCGATCGAGTGAGACGCTGCATCCTCCCCCCCCCCGAACCTCCTTATCAGCCGAAGGGTGGTCGTATAGGTATTGTAAAGTTTTTCTCGGAGGCGAAGTTGGCTGTGAAGATCCTTTGCGGGCTGGACCTCTTGATCCAGGGCCATCGTAGGCGCCCTTGGGGGCCATCCGATCCGTCTTGGAGGCCCTCTCGGGGCTGCCTTGCGTGAGAGAACCTGCGGGACACCTGCCCTCCTGGGCGTTTCCCGGGTGGCCGGCGAGACCGGCCGAGGCACGTCGTGCACCCCGTGGCCGGTGGCAAGGCATGTGGGGCGGCGGATTGAAGATGCCTACGGCGGCTCGCTGCCGCCCCCGGTCTGTCTGGGCAGCGCCCATACACTAATCGACGAAGAAAAAACGCCATGCATATCAACTGTTAGTAGCAGGTTGCATGAGCCCCTCCTGGCATGAGGTAGAGCAAGAGGACTGTAGCCACCGTGGCATATCATTGCCACACCAACAACATAAACGTTTGGCGCTCCGCGCGGATTTCTTGGATCCGCGCTGGGCCCCCCCCGGGCGGCGCCTCCGGCGCCTCGCTTGGCATGCTCCGCGCGCCAGGGAGGGGGGTCCAGCGCAGATCCAAGAAATCCGCGCGGAGCGCCAAACGTTTATGTTTAGGGAGTTGTCTTCTTCTATCTAAGGCGGGGTAGCGGGGGTAGCACAGAGGGGGGGGCTTGAGCAGGTGCACGGGCACTTGCAGTAATAGTTTGTGCAGATGTGAGCAATAATTAGCCGTCTGGACGCAATAGTTGCGCATAGATTTCTCGTGCATTCTTTCCCGACGCAATCGTTTGCGCCTGTTCCAACAGTTTTTTGCCCCCAAGCCATAGGCGTTTGTGCAAGCAAACCATGGCACCTCCCATTGCGCCCCCACTGGCGTTGCCCCCATCGATCCCGTCTGAACATGCGGGCAAACGTTGGGCCGCGCGAGACTTCCAGGATTTGTCTCACTACCTTCGAGTGAAGATCTACGTTGCGGCTGCCAGACCTTCGAGATGAGCTGGCACTCCACGCCCCTTGGGGCCTGCCCCGATGTGGGTGTGCAGGAGGGGGGGGGCCTACGCTGCTGCGCCTCCGCCCCCCTCCTCCCCCCTGGTGCCTCCAGAGGCCCGTATAGCCTGGGAGCACCACCCATGCTGCAGCGGCAACCCGGGCAGGAGGTGGACCTCGACCAGTTTCGCTCGGACACGCGCGGCGGGGCCGCGCCCGCCCTGGAGCCCGAGGACCGTCGCTCCTCCTCTGTCTCCTCCTCCTCCTCCTCCTCCTCCTCCTCCTCCTCCTCCTCCTCCTCCTCGAGTGGTTGGCAGGGCTGCGGTCCGCAGCGTGTTTTTGCCCTTCGCGCAGCTTGCTCAAGCAGAGCCGTGTGTTGACAGAGGTGCCTCCCCTCCGCGGCCGCCCTGCTCTCCTCGCCCTGCCCCCTGCAGTGCACAAGATCGCTGTCCAGCGCCCCGTGGGCTGCTCGCGGCCCGCGCGCTCGCCGGGCCCGCCAAAGGGAAGTGCGTTGACAGAGGTGGCCCTGCCTCCTGTCAGGAGCCATGGCTGGATTCTTCCGGAAACGGGGAGGCTCTGGAGGAGGATGTCACGGAGTACAGGATCGTGCGAGGGCTGCGGCCCCTGCGCTCCACCCCTCGCGGGCCTGCCTCCGGCCGGGCACAGCGCGCTGTCGCTTTCGCTTTCGCTTTGGGCCCTGCCCCGAGGTGGCCCCCCCCCCGGGTTCCCAGGAAGGCCCCCCCGTGGCCTCCAGAGCACCCATCACTCAAAGCAGGGCGAGTTGTGACACAGCGTCAGTGGGCCTTCGCGGGGCCCCCTTCGTCGCCACGGCTGGACGCAGCTCGGAAAATGGGTGCGTTTGGACTTTGGGGGCCGATTTTGAGCTGCCAGTGTCTCCACTCGCCCTCCGCCGAAAGCACGAGGCCCAGGCGGCTCCTGGGGCTCGAGAGTGGTGCAAGAAGCCGCCGGGGGGGCACCCTGGGCCAGGACTACAGGAGGAGGAGGAGGAGGAGGAGGAGGAGGAGGAGGAGGAGGAGGAGGAGGAGGAGGAGGAGGAGGAGGAGGAGGGTGAGAGCTTCCCGTTGGTTTCCGTTCCAGAAGTTTTGTCTTGGGGTGTTCCCCGAGGGGCATTGTGGCGGTAAGAACGAATGCCGCCCGATGGGCCCGCGCATCGAGACACTGGCAACATGCTGAGGTGGCTCGGTCCGCTCCGCATGAGACATCCTCGCAAGCCAGCGTTCCGAGACGACCAGGTTTGACATGGTCTGGCCCGTCTCACGTGAGACATCCTCGCAAACATGTGCTCCCAGACGCTACGCGAGAGGTGGTCTGGCCCATATCGCATGCAACACCTGCAGAACGTTTGGGCTCGGGGATACCGTAACCTGAGGTTGCTTTGCCCTTTTCGCCTGAGACATCATCGCTGCACTAGGCTTCAAGGTGCCACCCGCGAACTGATCCTGTGTCTGTTTCGCCTGGGACGTCCCTGCAATTCTGGGCAACGAGATGCCGCGTGCGAGGGGGTCCAGCCAGTTTTGCACGAGACGTCCCCGCAGTTCTGAGCAACCATTGAGGAGTGCGAAGCGAAGTGGGAGGGGGAGGAGGAGTAGCAGGATGATTGAGGACGAGGGGGGGAACGATAATGCTCGTATCGCTGTCAAACAAATACTCTTGTTGTCAATGCTCTCGGGACACGTCTCGTCGCCAGGGCTGGACGAGGCTCGATCCTGCCTGGTGATGCGGGCAAGTGTGCCGGCGGTGTCAAAAACCTCTGCGCGCGTCGACGCCGCATGAACCCGCCATAGCCATCAGCTTGCGGAGGTCCGAGCCAAGTGTCCCACCTCCTCCTCCCTCCCCGTCCTCCACCTCCTCCTGTTGAAGCGACGGCCCCGACGCGAGGACATCCCAGAGCAGAGGTTCCGCGTGGTGAACTTCTGGGCAGCCCCCCCCCCCCCTGGCCGAGTGACCCCACGTGGGCAGCTGCGGATAAGCTTGGCGGGCAGAGGGCGATGTCAGCGTGGTCGCGCGGTTCCAACTGGCCTTCTAGAGCCAGTCAGGGCCTTGGTTCGGCGGCGATCGATGATATTCAGAACGTGTGCTAGCGCAAGCGTGTATTCACCCCTTTTCGGCTCCGCCGATAGCGCCCCACCTGTGTCGGCCCTCGTTGCACCGCCTGCGTCGCATCGGAGTGCGTCGGTGGACAAACACACGTTGGCGCTAACACACGTGCTGAGGATCAACGAGGCGAGCGAGGGGGGAAGTGCGAAGCGAGGCCTTCTCAGAAGGCGGCGGGACTTCTCGGACGCCATCGCGCCTTCCTGGGAAAAGCTCCAAGACTGCTCGGGGAGGCCTTCTGCGAAGTGTTTTGTGCCTGCGGGAAGAGCTAAGTAAGCTTCGCAGATGCCAGAGACCTTCCGAGCCTTCTGAGAAGGCCCGCCCCTTCTCACTTCTCCCTTTACCTTGGGCTCGCCGCCGAGGCAGGGCCTTAGAGGGCCAGGGAAACGACAGTTCACCGTCGTCGTTTTGCGTTCCTTGTTTTCGGCTCCGACGCAAGCTTGTGAATGTTTCTTGCGCCGTTGCTTTACCGTTTCAGCCTCCCCTTGTGGGGACGTGTTCCAGATCATTGTTCACCCGGGCCTGAGCCGTTTTCGAAGCGGTTCCGAGCGGCGGGCCGTTTCAGTGAACCGTTATGTACCATGCGTACCGTTTTTCTGCCCTGGGCATGCTCAAGCGTCAGAATCTCGAAACCGGTTTAAAGAAACGGCGTTCGGGACGCGAGCCCGGTCCGTTGCGGAGAGGGCTAAGTTCAGGCAGGACAGAGGGCGTCGCTGTGGCCGCGTGAGTGGGCAACAACGTGGAAGTGAAGGCAGCCCGTCCTCTGGCCACACAGGCTCCCGCGCAGAGTGGAATTTGCACGCCTGCGTGCACAGCTGCTAAAAGCTTGCAGCCTGCGGGCTCCAGCGAATTCTACGCGCAATCGTGATGTGGCTTTCACTTGTGAGGATGTCTTCCGGCCGTTGACAAGGCGTTTGTGATTTGCGCGGCCGCTTGCGAAGCTGAGAGAGGAAGGATTCGCAGCTTGCACAACTTGCTGAACGCACCTGCTGCGCTTTGGTTGCTCGCATGCATCAGCGGTGCGTACATCTGAACATGCTCACGGTGCATGCCTCTTGCAATGTGTGTGTATGTTCCTTGTGTCCTCAGTTGGGTCTCTCGCTATTCACCATAACCGAAGATAGAGTTATATCTCACCATATCCCCAGATGGGGCTGTAATGTGGCGCTTCCGCTTTCTCACACTCTTCGCTTTCGGCCTTCCGAACTCAGATTCGCTCGCTCATACCCATACTCGCACACACAGGCTGCTTACACTCTGGTCAAGCACACTCGGACTCATCATGTTCAGACTAGCGTTCAGACCTCCAACACTCGGAAGGACAAACAACACACGGACAATGAATCGTCGACTTCCAGGAAATATTTGAACATATGGGAAGTGTGGGGAGGGAAGCGGAAGACCCATAACATATACGGTAATTTTGGGTATCCTGGGACTTGTGTTCCCCTTCGCGCACTCCGTCACTCACACTAACTGCGATGTAGCAGGCATGGCGCGTGGGCAACCCAAGGGGCATCCGCCAGGCGGGGAACGATGTTGTCCCGCTCGCGCCCAGATTGTGGGGACGTCTCGAGCGAGGCGCTTGCGTTGAGTCCCCGACTCCCCTCTGCCTTAAGTGCCCCATAGCCACCGCGATGCAGCAGGCGTGCCACGCGGGCGCCCCAAGGAGGAGCCGCCAAGGGGCAAGACACTTGCCAGGTCGCGGCCAGGTGGTGGGGATGCCTCGACCGAGGCGCCTGTTTTGCACCCTCGGCCCTGATCCCCTGGCAGGACCCGCAAATCACCACGATGTAGCGGGCATCCTGCGACGGAGCTGCCGGGGTCCAGACCCTTGCCTGCTCGGGGCCAGACTGTGGAGACGTCTCGACCGAGGGAGGCCCTTACTTGGAGTCCTCGACGCCTCTGAATTTGGGAGCCCCGCTGTGGCTAGGATGTGGCACCCCAGGGAGAAGCCGCCAGGGGGGTATGGCACTTGCCCGCTCGCCTGCTTGCCCCAGGCGCTGTCTTGCAACTCCGACTCTCCTTCTTTCAGAGGCCCATGATCGCCGCGATGTAGCGGACGTAAGATTTGCGCACACAAAAGGAAGAGCCACCAGGGGATATGACACTTGCCCGTTCGCACCCCGCTTGTGGGAATGTCTCGAGCGAGGCGATTGTTCTGCACCTCCAACTCATTTCCTTTCAGAGCCCCCATGCTGACCCCGATGTAGCAGGCGTAGACCTTGGGCACCCCAAGGAGGAGGATGAGGAGGTGCTATGGGGTGTGTATGTGTGTATGTGTATGTGTATATATATACACACCGAGCGAGGCACTTGTTTTGCACCTCCGACTCCTCTTGTTTCAGAGCTCCATGATCGCAGCGATGCAGCCGGGCATAGCACTCGGAGGCCCAATGGGGGAGCCGCCAGGGGGTGCTGCACCTGCCCGTTCGCGCCCAGATTGTGGGGGCGTCGCCAACGAGACGCTGGTCAATGGGCACCACGACCCCCCGCCACTTCAGAGCCCCGAGGTCGTCCCGATGCAGCAGGCGTAGCAGTTGCAGCACTCCCCTGGGGAGCCGCCGGGGATCACTCGGCCGCCGTACGCCAGACTTGAGTCGGGCGTGTCCCTCTACAGGAGGGATAGTCAAAGATAGTCAACAAAACAATAGCATGGGGACGATTGTTCTATTATTTGTGTTGGTTATTTTTGCGTATTTTCCTATATTTGTCATTCTTCGCCCCAAATCCGCCTGTAGGGGTACATGCCCGACCAAAAGCTAGACTCTCGCACTCAGGCTCTCGCAGCGAGACGTGCCAGGGAATGAGATGCACATGCGAGGACCTCTGCGTCGAAGCATGTCCAACAGCGTTTCGCCCAGAGAGTTAAAGGACCACCGAATATTCCCACAGCGAAGTTGGGGAGCCCGAGAACGCCGGTGCCAGCAACCGTTGCGCCCGAGATTCCATCGCCATGTATTCCAGAATGGTGGTGCTCTCGACTCAGTGCTGGCTACATGTGTGGCCCAGACAGCCACGATGCTTCGAACAAATACGCTATGGGTGCTCTCTTTCCTGTCACACACGACAGCGGCCCCTTGTAGAACATACTACGGTGCACATCGCCGTGCTCTCACCCTTGCTACGCCTAGGGATCCCGATGCAGGAACACTTGGGAATGCACCTTCTCACCAGCCGGCCTCCTACTCCTCGACCCGCCTCTTCACCTTCGTTGCCATGAGGGCGCTTTGCTGCTGTGATGCTTGCAGCCTCGATCCATCGCATGAGTGGCGGTCATGCCCCAGCGCGCCTCGCGCACTCCAGCGCCAGTGGCGTCGGCGGCACCTCGGGGCCGTGACTGCGGCGGCCTGCCCCCGGCGCTCGGCCAGGCCTTCGTGCGCGAGGCGCCCTCGTTGCAGGCCCGCGGCGGCGAGCTGCCGCCTGCCGCGACGATGGGTGGCGCGAGCGGCACACAGCACGGCTTGGGCGCAGGACGAGCCCTGGCGGGCTGGACCCGACCGGGACTCCCCGCAGCAATCCCCGTCGGTCGTTGCCCGTCCCGACGTGCCCCACCCCGACCAAGCGCTGCTTGCCGACTGGACAGAGTAACAAAACAATCTCGTCGTTGATGGGCCCTGCGCTGACGTGGGGGTTGGTTAGGGGAGGAAAAGATACTGATACCGCTACCCCTCCCTCGCCGCCACGATTGGATTCGCATCGAAACTTCTGTCAGAACGCACCCCAGGAGAGGGCCGTGGAGCAGCGGTATCGGTACCTTTTTACCTCCCCACCTTGGGGGTGGCGCGAGCGGCATGGAGCGGCCGAAAGCCCTGGGTGCATTGGCTCAGGCTGGTCCCTGCGGGCTGGAGCCGACCCAGCTGCCGCCCCCGTGGGTGCGGACTCTCCTTGGCATCTTGGTGTTCCATGCGTTTCCAGGTGTGTCCCGAGCCCACCCGCTCGCCTGGTGGGTCTGGTCTGCACCGAGTAGCGCCGAAGAGCGCTTCACAGCGCCGAAGAATAGCGCCCGAATAGCGCCCAATAGTGCCATGCGAGGGATATGGGTTGCGCCCGCCTTGCGCGCTATTGGACGCGCTATTGGGCGTCATGGGGACAACCAAAGACTTCTGTGAGTTGCTTTCCTATGGCCCCGAGCCCACCCGCTCGCCTGGTGATTCGGGTCTGGTCTGCGTGTAGGTGTTCAGGTTTGGGGGAGGGTAGGTGGTGCGGCCAAGAGAGGGGTAATGACTACAGTAGGGCTGTGTGTGCTTGCGTTTATGTGTGACTCCCGGCCGTGTAAGCCAGGCCGGTGCGCGCGCTTCTTCGACCTTCTCTACGCTGCGCCGCCGTGCGCGTGGCCACGACGACAAACAGTATGTTTGTGTGTGTGCGTGTGTGTATGTGTGGGGGTGTGTGCGTGTGCCGTGTGTTCGCGTGTGTGTGTGCGCGTGTGGATAGCGTGTCAACGGCCATCACGGCAAAGTCTTCCTGGTTCTCAGCCTCTCCTTTTATCTTTCAGCGCGTCCATAGGCACCCCCTTGGCTGCGCACGAGCCTCGAGCCATGATTCGTGGACCCCCTTTGGACGCCACCCTCTCGGATACCCAAGACAGTTGGGCCCTTGCCGGCAATGATAACGACAAAGATAACGAGGACATTGACGACGACCATGAAGATGGCGATGATGTAATCGTCATTCGTATCGTGATCATCGCCAGCATTTTCGTCGTCATTATATCACCGTCTTCATCGTCATTCATCGTGATCGTGATCATCATCAGCATCAGCATCAGCATCATCATTATCATCACCATCATCATCAGCATCATCGTCATCGGGATCGTGATCAGTGGTATCCTCGTTATCGTGGCCAACAGCATCATCGCATCGTGATCGTCATCATAGACATCGTCATCATCATCATCATCATCAGCATCATCATCATCATCATCGTCGTCCCCACCATTCACAAGTACCGCTCAGTGTGATAAGTTCTGTCGTTCGCAGTGGCGCTCTCACATTGGTGCCTGCCACGCTCCTGTTAAGCCTGGCGCGACCCCAAGTAGAGGTTCTATTTCCCAGCTCTCCTGGCTTAGGTTCTCGTTTTGAATAGAGCACTGTGGCCGAGGCCGAGTCGCCTTCTCTCATCTCCTCCCCCTCCTCGTGGGCTCCCATGAGGTCCAGCGTGCGCTACTTTCGTGGGCTCCTGGGAGGTCCACGGAGCGGAGGGACATGCGCAATTTTCGTAATTTTCGTAGGCTCCTGGAAGATCCAGCGGCCAGCCGAGACCTCGAGGCTCGGTGGGGGGGCTGCGAAGTGAGAGGCTGTCGTCAATCTCTTGGGCTCCTGGGAGGCCCAGTGGAGTGGAGATGTACACAAACCGAGTCAATACCTCGCGTCTCCCAGCGGGGCTGCGAACTGCGCAATCGTCGCCACGTTCGTGGGCTCCTGGAAGGCCCAACGGAGTGGAGTTGTAAACACACCCAGCCGAGACCTCGCGACTCCTGGGGCTGCGCGAACTGCGCAATCGTCGCCTTTTTCGGTGGGTCTTGGGAGGCCCAGCGGAGTGGAGCTGTAACCACACCCAGCCGAGACCTCGCGACCCCTTGGGGGATGGGAACTGCGCAACCCGCGCCACTTTCGTGTGCTCCTGGGAGGCCCAGCGATGTGGAGTTGTAAACACACCCAGCCGAGACCTCGCGGCCCTCTGGGGGGCTGCGGATTGCACAGTGTTGCCTCTTTCGTGGGCTACTGGGCGACCCAGCATAATGGCGTTGTGAACAAACTTAGTCGAGACTTCGTGGCTCTCTGGGGGGGCTGCGATGTGCGCAGATGTCGTTTACTTCTTGGGCTCCTGGGAGGCCCAGGGGAGACCTCGCGGCCCCCTGGAGAGCTGCGAACTGCGCAACGGTCGCCTAGTTCCTCGGGTCCTGAGAGGCCCAGCGAGTAGACCTGTAAACGCACTCAGCCGAAACCTCGCGGCCATTTGGGGTTGCGAACTGCGCAATTGTCGCCGTCGGCTCTTGGGAGGTCCAGCGGAGTGGAGTTGTATGCACAACCAGCCGAGAATTCGCGGTCCCCGTGGGGGCTGCGAACGGCGCAATCGTCGCCCATTTCGTTGGGTCTTGGGAGGCCCAGCGGAGTGGAGATGTACGCACACCCAGCCGAGACCTCGTGGCCCTCTGGGTGGCTTCGAACTGCGCAACCGTCGCCATTTCGTTGCGTCCTGGGAGGCCAAGTACGCACACCCAGCAGAGACCTCGCGACCCCCTGGGGGGATACGAATTGCGCCCCCGTCGCTTCTTTCGTGGGCTTCTGAGAGGCCCAGCGGTGTGGAGTTGTAAAGACACCCAGCCGAGACCTCGTGGGTCCCCTGGGGGTCTGCGAATTGTGCAGCTGTCGCCAATTTAGTTGGCTTGTTGTGAGTCCAGCGGGGTGGAACTGTACGCACAGCCAGCCGATACCTCGTGGCCCCCTGGGTGGCTTCGCACTGAGCAAGTGTCGCCAATGTCTTGGGCTCCTGGCTGGTTGACCTGGGTGGAATGAATGGGAACCCATCGGGAGCTCCACCGTAGGCTCCTCTGGCAGGGTCCGCACTGTTACCAGGACAGGAAGAGGCAGTTTGCATGCCGCGAACCGACCTCAGGCCCCGCGAATTGCCTTCGGGCCGTCGGTCACAGGAGCCGCTGCGCCACGCGACCCATGGCGCTGTTTGTTTGTCCGCGTGGCCTCCCATGTTCAGCTGCCTTTGGCCCGCCATGCCACCCCGCGAGCTTGCCTCGCTCAGCGCGACGCGCTGTTCTGCTACAGAGTGAGCGCACTGTGCTGTTCTGTCCCGCGCATGCAGCGCTCGGCGCTGTTGTTGTTACTGAACGCGTTTCTCCCTCAACTCTCCTCTGTATGATGAAGTTATCGGATCTGTTCCACGATTCCTGCATGCTTTCTTGTTGACTTTGGGGGGCTCATGCGCGCCATCTGTTTAGAAAGGGCTGGCACGTCACCGGGCCATGCCGACTTCCGCTTCGGAAAAGCCACGGCGGGCCCCCCGCTTGTGACGTTGGCTCGCCCGTGAGCGTGGCAGTCCGGTGTGCGAGGAGGAGGAGGAGGAGGAGGAGGAGGAGGAGGAGGAGGAGGAGGAGGAGGAGGAGGAGGAGGAGGAGGAGGAGGAGGAGGAGGAGAGGGCCACGTGGGGGGCGTCCTGGGGCCGTCGTGGCCGACCCCTCGGGCGGCTTCGGGTCGACGGCCGCAGCAGGGACGGCCCCCGCACACCCCGCTCCCGGGGTGCCACCCATCAGCGTGTCGAGGAATGCCGGCGCTCCACGCGTGGGGCCCCGCGAGCGGCGCGCGCATCCAGCGCGCTCGGCCCTCCTGGGCTGCCTTGGGCCCCTTGCCGGCCGTCCGGAGCCTCGTCGGAGCCCTCTGGGGGCTTTCTCTTGGGGTGTCGCGAGGCCTTCTCGGGGCCCCCTGAAGCTCCCGAGTTCGGCCTGCCTGGAGCCCTCTTGGGGCCCTCTCCGCCCGCCCCCTTCCGAGGGCTTCTCAGGGCTCCGCTGAACATTTCTTGCGCCATCGTGGGCGCACTGAAGACCGAGAGGGCGAATCCAAGATTAGTCGACGCGGATATCCACAGACGTACACCCCATTCCCTGGAACGTCCCGCTGTGAACGTCTGGCCGTGAGTGCTTGGGGGTGGGAGCATATCCGGATGGACGACGAATTGTTGACGCTTCGCGTATCCCCACCAGCCCATCCAGAAACGATGCCCAGGGGAGTTGAGGTGATCAGGGAAGTCGGGGAGCATGCAGAATAACAAGGGGCGGGGGAAGCTGTCACGTACCCCAAGAGGGGGAGGATGGAGAAGGAATCCTCGTCGGAGGGGGAGGGGGAGGAAGAGGAGGAGGAGGAGGAGGAGGAGAATGAGGAGGAGGATGTGGAGTAGGGAGAGGACGAGGAGGACGAGAAGGAGGAGAAGGAGCAGAGGGAGGAGAAGGAGGAGAAGGAGGAGAAGGAGGAGGAGGAAGAGGGGGATGAGAAATTGAAGAGGACGGCGAACCGAAGAGCCAGAAGCGTCTTAAATGCATTTCGGAGATCCTCTTGAGGCTTCTTGGTGGTCTCTTGGGAGCCTCTTGGAGGCCTCTTGGGCGCCTCTTGGGGCCGTCTGGGCGCCTCTTGGGGCGCTCTTGGGGCGCTCTTGGGGGCTGTAGGGGCGCTCCTGGGGCCATCCTGGAGGAGATCGATCAACGAAGGGGGGTTCCCTCATCGGCCTCCCCCCTCGGGAGCTCCAAACATCGCCTCTTGGGGCGCTCTTGGGGCGCTCTTGGAGCGCTCTTGGGCCTGCTTGGGGGTGGGAGCATATCCGGATGGACGACGAATTTCGACGTCCACGGCGGCGACGGCGGCGGCGGCTATGACGACGAGAGACGGCGACGACGACACCTCACAGGCAGACAGAGGCGGCGAGCAGGCTCCATCCCCTCTCCTTCCTATTCCTGTGCCCTTTCTGAGAATCCAACTGGTGGACGAACATGGCCCCACTGAGTTATGTTTTATCCTCTTCCTCGTTTTCGCGCACCGTTCCTGCTCTTTTTTTTTCTCTCTCTCTCTCTCTCTCTCTCCCCTTTTCACTCTTCCTGCATCCTCTTCCTTCCGCATCCGTCCTGGCGGCCGTCTTTCTCCTTCTTACATCGAAGCCATCATGTGGCTCTGAATGGACAGGGGTCGGAGGTGCAACGCCGAGCACCTCGCTCGATACAACCCAACGATCTGGCCGCCTGGGGTGCCTAAGCAAGTGTCTCTTCTGAGACATCCTCACAATCTGTTTTGAAAACATCGGAGTACAACCCACCAGACAAGCAAACCGCTTGAGGCAGCCCCACGATCTGGGCACGACTGGGCCCATGAAACACACTCTGGCGGCTCCCCCCTGGTGTGTTGAAACCAGCGCCTCGCATCAGATACCCTGACAAGCTGCTTTCAAAGCAAGGAAGCTGAAGCCACCACACAGGTAATCCGCATGAGCATCAATTATTGTCGCCTCTTTCGGCCCTCTTGGGGGTCATCTTGGAGCCTTCTTCGGACGTCTTGGGTCTTGGGAGCTTTGAGGCCGTCTTGAAGGTGTCTTGGCTAATCTTGGGGCGCCCTTGGGCTCTACCAGGGCCCTCCTGGAGCAAGCCGCTGCTGATGCTTGCCCATGATGTGTGATGTTGGTCTGTGTACTTGCCGCCAGAGGCGCCGATCCTGTGCAGGAAGGACGTCGGGGACCTCGTGGGCGCACGGCAGCAGACCTTCGACGGCGAGTCGCGCGCGCGATGGGCCCGCCTCGGTCGTTTTTCGGATCTGTCGGCTGATCCCGGCGCAGGTCGGAAAGCAATTGCTAGTGTCTCCAGGTTGTCTAGTAACAGTCGTTACTAGGGGTGGTGGTGGTGGTGAATGTAGCTCATATTTTGCGCGCCAGCACCAGCATGTTGGAGGGGAGGTCCAGGTCCCCCCCCCCCGAACGTATGATCGTAACCGTTACCCGGGGGCGGGGGGAGGGGGCTGGCCTGGATAGCGGCCGCTATGTGCCACAGGATAGGGCAACTATTTCCTAGGGGTACAGGTCCCGTCTCCAACGGGAACTCCTTGATCCTCATGCCAATCTTGGTGCGGGAAGGCGGCAGTTTGCCTTTGCTTTGGGACTCCAGGGGTCCGGGACCATCAGAAATCGATCCAGGACGGCGAGAAACCTAGCCCGATCCTTCAGATCGTCTTTCGCCCTCCCGAGGCCGCGTGCGCTCATGACTAACTGCTGCTCGTGGCAGAGGTAGCTTGCTTGCGCACGCTGGATGTCGCGCGTGATGCCGCGGCACTGCGCGGTGCCCCATGAACTGCAAATGCGCGCGCATGGCGCGCGTACCAGGGCCGAATGAACGGGTTCTCTGATGCGCCAGGGAACATCGCGCCCTGGGGCGTGCCGCGGGACTCAGGGGCGGCGCTGCCGCGAAGGGGGATTCGAACGCCGGCGTTTCCCCACAGGGGCCACTCTTCCCTGCGCGCCAGTCGGCGATCTTAGGGATAAGCGTTCTTGGGGACATGTTTTTCGAGTGACCTCTCGAAGATCAGGTATCTCGAAGACTGTCGCGCAATCTTGCAACACAGTCAAGCCGCATAGTAAGGATGGGCCACCGTCCCAGGGGTGCCCTTGCGTCCTTCCTTCCTCGGCTCATCCTTAGCGACTCTCGCTGGCCAACCTCGTTCGAAAAATGCTAACGTGGCCCGTCAAGGCCCTTGCATCCTTACCGCGCATCCTTATGATACGGGATGATTGTACCAGATGTTCGAGAGGTCGCTCGAAAAAACATATCCCCAGGAATGCCATCCCAGAGGATTTCGGCCTGGCGGAGCTCCGTGGGCGCTGGGAGCCCGGCCGACGAGTTTGTCGGGCGAGGGTGGGGGCGTGAGAGTTCGATGCTGCGATTTCGTGCGCAACGTGCCATCGCTTGTCATCTGGCGATCGTCGTTCGTATGTCGTCCGTCGTCTTCGTCGTCGTGTCCTGTCGTCTCTCCGTTCTCTGCCACTGGGCTCCTCTGTCAGTAGGAGGAGGAGGAGGAGGAGGAGGAGGAGGAGGAGGAGGAGAAGGAGGAGGAGGAGGAGGAGGAGGACAAGGACGAGGACGAGGACGAGGACGAGGAGGAGGAAGAGGAGGAGGAGGAGGAGGAGGAGGAGGAGGAGGAGGTAGAGGAGGATGAGGAGGAGGAGGAGGAGGAGGAGGAGGAGGAGGAGGAGGAGGAGGAGGAGGAGGAGGGGGGGGGGGGGAAAGAGGAGGAGGAGGAGGAGGAGGAGGAGGAGGAGGAGGCGGAGGAGGAGGAGGAGGAGGAGGAGGAGGAGGAGGAGGAGGAGGAGGAGGAGGAGGAGAGGAGGAGGAGGAGGAGGGAAAGAGGAGGAGGGAGGAGGAGGAGGAGGAGGAGGAGGAGGAGAAGGAGGAGGGAGGAGGAGGCGGGGAGGAGGAGGAGGAGGAGGAGGAGGAGGAGGAGGAGAGGAGGAGGAGGAGGAGGAGGAGGGAGAGGAGGAGGAAGGAGGAGGAGGGAGGGAGGTGAGAGGAGAGGAGGAGGAGGAGGAGGAGGAGGAGGAGGAGAGGAGGAGGAGGAGGAGGAGAGGAGGAGGAGAGAGGAGGAGGAGGAGGAGGAGGAGGGGGGAAAGAGGAGGAGAAGGAAGATGATGATGAGGAGGAGGAGGAGCAGGAGGAGGAGGAGGAGGAGGAGGAGGTAGAGGAGAGGAGGAGGAGGAGTGTCGTTGGTAAAAGAGTGGCGTTGTCTTCCGAGCTCTGCCCCCGCAGAGCGCGCCCGCGAGGCTTCGTCAAGCTCTCGGGGGAGCCGGGCTGGCTGCTGCGGGACCTGGGCGGCGAGCACGGTCTTGGCAGGGCGCGCGGCCCGGCTTGGGAGACGAGGGCGAGGAGGAGCAGGAGGAGCAGGAGGAGGGGGACGAGGAGGACAAGGAGCAGGAGGAGGAGGAGGAGGAGGAGGAGGGGGAGGGGGAGGGGGACAAGCTAGGTGCGCTCGCGTCATATCTGACGTCCTACCCCTCCCTCGCATCCCTTACCATGGCGCTGATTTTCTCTATCCGCGGACGCGTGTCGTAGCGGACCTGTGGCTCCGCGCGCGCGTGCGTAGTGGGTGGTGGTGCACGTGCGTGCGTGCGTGCGTGTGTGCGTGGTTGTCGTGGTGGTGGTGGTGGTGGTGGTGGTGGTGGTGGTGGTGGTGGTGGTGGTGGTGGTGGTGGTGGTGGTGGTGATGGTGGTGGTGGTGGTGGTGGTGGTGCTGGTGGTGGTGGGTGTTGGTACTGGTGCTGGTGCTGGTTGTGGTGTGTGGGTGGTGGTGTGGTGGTGGTGGTGGTGGTGGTGGTGGTGGCGGTGCGGCGCGGTGGTGGCGGGCGGATGGGCGCGCGAGAAAAAGGCCCGCGCTGGGGCGAGAACGCCATCCTGAACGACGGAGGCCAAACACCGATCCGAAAATGAGGCCCACGCTGCAGCGGGAGCACGATTCGGAACGATTCGGGAGCAGAAATGAGGCCGGCGCCTCAACGAGAGCAGCATTTTGGGAAAAAATGACGCCGGCGCCTCAGCGAGAGTCGTTTCCCGGGATTTCCCGGGCATCCTGTGTGTAAAAAACAATACGCGGAGGGTGCGCGGCCATCACCCGGACGCCATCAGGGGAAGAGGGAGAGTATATTCATATTGAGTAATTGTGGAGGGGGGCGGTCCCTGCTTCTGCCGCCCTTGCGATCCCCGAGTCCGTGCTGTTTCTGTCGCCTTCTCGCTGGCGGCCGGGCGTCGGCGCTAATCATCGGCACCGCCGCCGTGTGTTTGAATTTGGCGGGCGCCACCCCCGCGATTCGCCCGAGCAGGGACAGTTATCTTTAATCACGCGCAACTCACGGAATGGTTTATCACATGCTGATATTCAGTCGGCGTCGAGATCTGAGCCCTGCAGTTAAAGCTGATGACCATGGTTAACAGCAAATCCCTTCACCCTGGTATAGCGCGATGGTGTCGTTGCCTCACTGAGGTCCCCGTCTCCGCACGGGAGTATGAGATCTGGACGATTTGGCTTGATACAGATGCAGAAAAAGACCCCTTGTCCCTAATGTCCCTGGCCCTCGTAATTTAGGTTCCCTCCCAAAGGGTCAGGAGTCTTTTGTGCAGAGTTGATGGGGTCGGAGGATCGCGTCGCATCGACGATGCATCGTGGATGCGGTGCGACGATGCGTCTACCCCGACCCCTTTTGGGAGGCACCTACCCCCTACAATTCGCGGCGACGGACAACACAAATCGGCGGAACGGTCTCTGACCCTGTTCGGCCTGTGGGGGCCGCTTTCGGGCTTCGACCGGTTTTCAACGGAATTACCTTGTCGCCCGACCCTCGCCGGCTAATGCGTCGGGCAACTCAATGGGCGGCGGGGGTAGGGTCTGGAATTCGTCGAACACGTGGCGAAATCAGAACCCTGCATCGCCTCCCATCGATTCAGGAAGATCGATGTTTGGCGGGGGTTGGGTTCGGATGTCGCCACCTAGCCTGGCGTCTGCCGTCGAGCTCTGCTTGTGGTCCATGTGCTTCCTCGACCGTTGTGGAACTCCTCGGGGGAACGCATGGAAGAGGAACGAAAACGAATGAAGTGGGAGGAGGAGGAGGAGGAAGAGGAGGAGGAGGATGAAGAGGAGGACGAGGCAGATGAGGAGGACGGAAAAACGACAACCAGCAAGAAGAAGAGGCGGAGGAGGAGGGGGGAAGAGGGATAGGAGTCCTTTTGAGTCACTCTGGAGACGTCCTGGGGGTTTTATGGGAGCGTCTCGGGGGCCTCAGAGGGGACTCTTGGAGGGCTCTTGGGAGCTCCTCGGGGCCTCGAATGGCACCGAAAGGGCTTCTTGGTCTTCGGAGGTCGTCTTGGAGACTTCACTGGGCAGTTCTTTTGGGGGACTTTAGCCCGCATTTGAAGCCTGTGGGGCCGTTTTGGGCCCGTCATGGGGCCCTCTTGGGCTGTCTTGCGGATCTCTTGGGGGCCTCTTGCATCATGGGCTCTCTTGGAGTGATCTTGCGGGCCTAGGATTGTCTTGGGGCGTCGGAAGCCCGCAGAGGCGAGAACGCTAAAGTCATGAAACACAAGCTGAGGATCTTCAATAATGTTGGCCTCCTTGAGGTCCTCTTGGAGCGTCTTGGGGCCTCCCAGGCCGTCTGGAGGACCTCTTGGGCCGTCTCGGAGCCGCCTGGGAGGAGAGATCCGTACCTCCCACCTCCAGCGGCTTCAGTCTGGTTGGCGGGTTGGACCGGAAGCCATTTGGAACCCTCGAGAAAGGTTCAAACACGTATTCAAGAAAACGGTGCGCTAATTAGCCTTCCTGCAATGAGCAAAGGGGGCAGCGGATATAGGGTTCAGGTCAGAGGCCTCCTGAATTCTTGTTGGGATCTCTTGATGGGCCTCTCGGAAGTCTTTTGGAGGCAGTTTCACGGTGTCTCGGGGTCATCATGGGGATTCACTTGATTGAGCTTCTTGGCCTCCTAAGGCTTCTTAACGGGCTTGTTGGCGGTCTTGGGGGTAATCTTGGGGCGGCCGGACCGACATGTCAGTTCGCGTTCCCTCTGTTGGGCCCCTTTTGGGACCCTCTTGGGGCTCTCTTAGGCCGCCTTGGGGACCTTTTGGGCCGTCTTGGGGCTCTCTTGGGCCGTCTTGGGGCCTTCTCGAGGGCATCTTTGGAAGTCTTTGGGTTGTCTTGGGGTCCCCTTGGGATGTCTGGGGGTCCCCTTGGGGTGGGTGGAGGGGATAGTTTTTGTGTTTCGCCCGCAGCCTCCCGCCACGCGCAGGTGCCGTCGAGCGGAGAGCGCAAATAACGAGTCCTTTCTCGTACCAACAGTCGGAAGCCCGAAAAGGCGAGAACGCAAACTTTGTGGACACACGCCGCAGGAACATCAATGGTTCTAGTTAGCCTCTTGGGACCTCTTCGGGCATCTCGGGGGCCTCTTGGGCCTTCTTGGGGCAATCTTGCACGTCTTAGGGCCCTCTTGGGCCTTCTCGGAGTTCCCTTGGATCGTCTTGGGGGCGTCTCGGGGCCTGTTGGCCCGTCTTCGGGCCCTCTGGTCTCGGAGGGAAGTGCTGCGAGAACCCCAATGAGCTCCTAACAACAAACCAACGGAGCGCCGGGATCTCTAGGCTGCGGGCCTGATCAGGAGCATCTGCAGTACAGCATGCAGAGAACTGTTAGGAACATGAGACACTGCAATACGTACCTAGAGGCGCGGTGGCGGGTACACAACACACATACACACGCAAACACACACACACATACACACACACACACACACACTTCGCCGCGCGGTGCGGCGTGGGGCAAGTCAAGAGGGGAGCAAGGCGCGCAAGTCAAGCGGAGAGCGGCGCGCGGTCAGGGCCGTCCACATATACACACATTTGCATACACGTATACCGGCGTTGGTCCCGAGCAGTGTGTTTCTAGCAATCTAGGTTGTGCAATCTATGTGGTGCACTCCAATGTGGTGCAGTCGATGTTGCGAACTCTAGGCTGTGCAACTGTGCGATCAAATCTATAGGCTTACGCCACATCCGCCATCCAGTTTAACTGAGTTCAGGGTTTTGATGGTGTCTTTCGGTGTTTGGAGGCTTCTTGGGGCGGTAGGCTTGAATTTTCGGTTCGGGGTTTCCCTTTCGGTCCGTGTTGGGGCCAGCTTGGAGGCTTCTTTAGCGGGTCATGGGGCCTCTTGGGCCGTCTTGGCGGTTTCTTTGGCCGTCGTGGGGGTCTCTTGGGCCGTATTGGATCCTTCTTGGGTGTTTTTTGGCCCGTCTTCGACGTAGTAACATGCCAACAATCGGATATGATAAACATCTACGTTGACCCAAGGGAATTGGACGATTTTGTCGTCTTGGGCCGTTCTCCAGGATCCACTTGTAGGTCTCTTGGGGCGTCTTGCGAACATCCAGGACCGTCTGGAGGCCATGGTGAGAATTTTGGAACGATTTTTCTGAGATTTGAGGCCCTCTTGGGCCATGTTGGGGGCCTCTTGGGAAGCCTCAAGGGCTCTCATGGAGCTCGAAAGGGAGCCCAGGGACGCTGAGTCTGGGGGTGGGTCGTCTGCGGCGGGGGGGGGGTCACATTACCGGCTTGTGGTCCCAGGGGGTATGGGGAAGTATGGGAGGGAAGAATTTCACATGCCTAAAGACCCACAAGGGGTCGGCGAACTTCCAATCATCGGGTGACAAGCGCTGCCTCAGTCGCGGCACATGTAGGCATGGGGCCATTCAGTACTCGATCATCGACACCTAATACTGAGAATGATTGAGGACTTCAGGACGCCCCAACATCATCCCAGAGAGTGCCCCTCTCCGGCCTTTCTGATCCACGCCGCGCGGGCCTCCCCGTGCCGGCCCCCCCATCCACCCTGCCAGCCATTTCCGAGGGCGTCGTTTGTGTCAGCCGCGGCCCCAGACCTGGGGGCCCGCGCAGCGACATAACTGGAACGTCGGACCTCTGGCCCTTGTCCTGTGGGGAGAGGAGCCGGAGGAGGAGGAGGAGGAGGGGGAGGAGGAGGAGGAGGAGGAGGAGGAGGAGGAGGAGGAGGAGGAGGAGGAGGAGCAGGAGGAGGAGGAGGAGGACACCTCGACCACTTAACCCTGGGGGGAAGGCGCGTGCCCCGGGGCAGCGCCCCCCAGAGGGGGGGGGCCGACGATGAGGACGAGGACTGCCGGCCGAACAAAATCATGCCGACGGACGCCTGGGCCCTCGTCGCCGTCGGCCCCCCGCCAGTTCCTACCCGCCGACGTGGGCGACGACGACGACGACGGCGGCGACGACTGCGGCAACGACGGCGGCGGCGGCGGTGGCGGCGGCGACGACGACGACAACGGCGGCTGGGGCAC